CCTGGTCCGGTGAGAACCCGGCGTGCTCCGTCCCGGCTTTGTAGGGATGCGAGGTCAATGGTATAACGACTACGGCATGCACGACTATGAGTACACCCCCCGCCCCCGATCCCGCCCCCGACCCCGACCCCTTGCCTCCTCTGCGTACGTGCGCTTTGAATATTTGGCGGCATGAAGACCCACGCGTAAGGGCAAGTGGGTGCAAAAATGTGGCAGCGGACGAAGGTTGGGTTGGTTTTGTCCTCCCCTCCGCTGGGTATGGGTACCCCCCCACCCCCTTCCCCTTGTTTCGCGGGCGTGCGCTGTGAATATCGCGGGACCGACCGATGCTGCCCCTAGACAAGCACTGGTGGCCCCACGGTTTGGTTGATTCACGATGAAGACTTGGTATGTATGAAGAGTAGGCACACGGGCAGTTTGGTGCAAACTGAATGATATTTTCCTTTTTGCTGGGCCATCTAACGCAAACACATGGCGTCCCGCGTTCTTCTCCCCCCTCCTCGATGGTTCCCCCACATGGCGTCCCCAAAACTGAAAATAATAAGTACCCAAAACTGAAACAAACCACACCCAACCTGGTATGTTCATAATTTCATCCCAAGACTCGATGTTGACAGTCCAGCGATGTTTCAAAATATGCTCTCGTGCCTACATCTACGAGTCACGGCATGAATAATTCTCGCCATTATTGCTGTAGCAACATTTGGATTCTGCGCAGCAAACGACAATATCTTCACGCATATGGGTGGCAGGTGAGCAAGCGCCACCTGTCCAAAGTGCAGGAACAGCGCATCACGGAAGAAGACCTCGCGTTCGACGGCATGGAGCCAGACTGCAGTGTCATCATGGGCTTTGGCAGCAGCACCGTCGGTCGCATGGTGAGCCTTCCGCATCGGCCGATAGCTGGGGTTGCGATGTCGTCGGCGTTCATTACAGGAACACATTATTTTGCCTTGTTTGCTTGCAGGGGGATGCCAATCCATGCTGCGTGGCTTGGTGATGCGTGCAGGTGTGCGGTGGCGTATGATGAGTCTTGCCGGGGTCGGCAGCCCAACCAGTGATAGTTGATCAAGCCGGCGATTACCCTACACCTCCCTGGTGGAAAGGCAGAAGCAATGCACCCGCGAGACGCTCTGCTAGATAATGTTTCCGTCGCATCCGGCTTTCGTCCTCTGCCCGATGACAATTTTCGTTGGTTCCGCATCACCTGTTCCGCGCAGTGGCCATACGAGGAGTTGGAGTGGTACGGAGGCCGAAAAATGTCCGCGGAGCTGGACCACTCTTCCACGGCGTCCGACCGAGTGTGGTCTCTGGGACGAAGGTTGTAGAAAATTCCCAAGTACTACAGGCCCCTTCCGTGTTCCATATATTGTGATAAATCAACTCGACGAGTATCGTCGGCGCAGCCTGTCTGAAGCTGATTTGCTTTTTTGGGTTTATTTGGCTGCTGGCTGAGTTTACTCCGTTGTTGACAGATCACGACCCGACTGCGGATGGAAACAAATAACGGAACAGTACTACAGGCTCTCTCCGTGTTCCACACATTGGCTGTGGCGGTATGATGGTGCCTTGGGTGCGTTGGGACGGAACGTTTGTTTTCTGTGTTGCTGCTTGTAACCGCAGCTAGAAACGCCATGTTGCTCTTGAACTCCTTCCGAGTTTGCCTGCGGTGGCCTCCCCGGCCTCGACCTCCTCCACACGATGTACGTACATGTGACCGTGAGTTGTAAAGATTCGTACTCATAGCTGGGTGTTTCAAGTCACTCCTGTCAGGTCGTAAACTTAGCCCTTGACACGACGTTCCGTTGGACAGCGGTACACCATGCGACAGCAGTTGTAAATTTTCGGCTTGTCTTGGTCGAGTTCGTTTTTTTGCACCGACTTGGGTTTTGCTTTCGTGTGCACTGGTGCCCCGTGGCGTGTTGAAAGCAAAGTTCATCTTCGTAAATGAAGCAGTGCTACGTATTGTGTCGCGGCGATGTTATTTTTTTTATTCTTTCTCTTGGGGCTTGCTGTGTGCGAGTTATCGCGTGGCACAAGTCGTCCGTCGTTAGGACTGGTGGGTCCTGACGATTTTCCTTCGAGCTGTTTCAGGCGTGCAAACTAGACTACTCATTGACTTCATATGCGCAGAACTACCACCCAGGGTGTCTTTTCTCAACCCTCTCTGTCGTGAGAGAGTGTCATCTCGAGCAAGCGCTAAGCAACGACTCGGCCGTTGCACTGTGAAGTGACCTGTAACCAACCTACCGGTAGCATGTAACTGATTCCCCTTCTTCCCCTCGCTGCCTCGGGAAGGTTTGGCGTAGGCATGACCCATAGCGAGGGGGGGGGTCTTTCTAGCGAGCAGGGCTAGACTCACCCTCAAGGGACCGATACCTTCTTGCTGCGGCGCACCCGCCGCGAGGCGTGCGTAGTGGTGGAGTTGGGTCGGCACTGGTGCGTCAGGTACAAAGGTGCAGATGCACGGACCTTCAGGCCGTCGGTGTAGGCAGCAATGCCCATCTCATCTTTGTGCGCGGAGGCAGACGTCATCAGAAAGGCGGACGGGCACTATGTACACGGCCCTAGGTTTGCTAGAGGGAGTTGTACTGTCTCAGTAACCTGGTTTTGCCATCAAAGGAGGAGGGGACAGGTGGTGACGAGCTGATTGGGCTGGTTGGCCCTTCGGCGCAAGAATTTTCAGACGAAGAACCCTAAGTGCAACGAGGGAGAAAGCGAGAAACCGACTGGGAAGGACAGCAACGAGAGTGTGTACAAAGCGGAGCGGGTCGACTTTGGTCGTGCTAGGACTGGCCACAGCGGCACCGGAGCAGCGGTACCGGAGCAGCGGCACCGGAGCAGCGGAACCGGAGCATATGGACGGCATCGAACCGTGGCGCACGGACAACACCACTCTCGTGTTGTCAGTTATTTTCCGTTTTTTCCTGGATATAGGTGTTGGGTGTGTGTGACGACGTCACTAGTTTTCACGGGCAGGTTTAGTACAGTACAATACTGCCAGTATTTTCAGTATTGCAGTACCTTTGGCCATAATATACTGTACTGCACGCTTTAGTACAGCTTTCAATACTGGAATAAAAATACTGCAATCTCCAGTACAGCTCTCGATACTGGAATATACTGTACTGGCAGCACGGCTCTCGGTACTGTACTGTACTGGACGTTTTAGTACGCAGTTAAATACTGGAATAAAAATACTGTACTGTACTAAACCTGCCCGTGCTAGTTTTGTAGGGAGACGCGGAAGAGATGGCGCGGATAACCCGGGTGCCTTAGTTGTGTACCTGCATCGTGGAAGACCCCTTCAATGTGGAACGATTCCTCGTCAGTGTCGATGTTTACACTGCTGTGCCGAACACAGATGATCTGGATAGATTCGGGTGATTGTCAATTGCAATGATGGCTGTGGTTGGGTGTTCTTCTTCATTGTATGTCCACGGACTCATTCTGACAGCACTTCAGACAGCAGCTGCATGCCCCGAGCTTGTGTACCATGCACCATGGTGTTACTATTGTACAGACAGCACTTCAGACAGCAGTACGCTGTAGTCGGCAAACATTCATTTTGGTTAAATGCGGGACAAGGGGGGTGATGCTGCTGCTGTAGTCGAATTGCAGTGGTGGGCGTGTAGTTCAGTTTTGAGCACGCAAACGTGCTGCAGGGATTGCAGTTGTACCTCCTCGGGCTTGCGTACCCTTTCTTGCTAATAGTGTGTGTTCTTTAGATCTTCTGATCGCTCTAACATTTTTGTGACCACGGACCGAGTCTTTCCTACATTTTGGGATTAGCAACTGACGCGAGTTTCATGTGAAGAAAAACAACAAACAACTGTCAAAATGAAGGGTGACACTTGAAGAGAGATCATGCACAATAAGTCTGCCACGGGGCAGCCCTTGACAAGAAATCATGCCAGAGACGTTGGCCTGGCTAAATAACCGCAGCAAAAAATGCGGCGTCACTCGGAAAACAGTGGCAAAACCATTCCTTGCAGGCACGACATGTGTCGCTAAAAACACTCGCTACTCATGCTTTCGTACCACGTATGTACACCCGTGCTACAATAGCCAACGGAGCCAAGCGTTTGCGCAGTAACCTCAACACATGTTCGGACCGACAACCAACTGGTTCCGGCTTGTCATAATGCATAACGTGGTAAGCACCGTTTCACAATCGACGCCATGCAATCAGGCATGCCTGCCACCACACGACGCCTCAAAGCTGTAAGGAAACAATCACTCAAGTCTTCGAAATAAGAAAATATCCACACCACAAGAGGCGTGCAGCCATCAACCATCTGCTGAGGTAACGTTACCTCAACACCCGATGCTTTCAGTGTCCAAACCAGCGCATAACGATGTACTGATACGCCAAAAGTAGCAACTCCCCCGCCCCCGAAAGTCGGGCGACTGATTTACCGTAAAACAGAGAACAAGCATGGAGTGCGAGTGCACGTGCCAACGAGGCCACGCATTTACAAGTCTACAATTCACAGGTAGCCGAGTGCCCACAGCACCTGCTCAGCCGTACCCCACCGGTCCAAGACCTTCCTATCCCAGGCGCAACTGGCCACATGACATCGCTCAGCACACCCCATTGCCTTTCGGTACAGGACTCGCCCCCGGCAACAAGTGGCCCGAAATAGTAGCTATGAGACCGCCGGAGGGCTCGTTGGCAGGGGGGGAAATGTCTCGCCAACACCCTCACCGTCTGATGGCTTCGGCCCACGTGCCGAGGAGGGTTCCAGTACAACCCCCGGCTTCTTTTCCGTGTCATCGGCCGCCCCTTGCTCACGAGGGCCTCCCGCCACCGCAGCGATGTCCGATTCGGCGCCTGAGCTACAACTCGCGCTGGAGCCGGCGCCCTGCGCTTCTCCGCCCGCCGCTGATTCCAACCCGGCCGCCGCTGCCAACGACTTGAACTCTCTCCATTCCAAGGCGTAGCCCCCGTCCCTTCTACCGGTTTCCTTCTCGGACGGGGCGGTTGGCGACACGGTCGTCTCGGGAGGGGGATCGACCGCACTCGGGTCGATGCGCAACAGGGAAGGCACGAAGCGGCAGATGCCCTCCAGTAGCGCGATTGGACCTGCCCAGCAAGAGGCAATGGGAGGCAGTCAAGGCCCGTGACTACTATAGTGCTTGGAACACAAGAACGGGTCAAGCAGCACACGGCATTACAGGCAGTCACGAGCGCGTGTCTAGTGCTTGGAACACAAGAGTCAACTCACGAGGGAAGTATTTCTTCCAGTGGTGTAATCCCGTCAAGTTCGATGTGGTCGAAAAATGCGAACAGTATTCGTGCCTCAACCTAAAGCGCAAAGGTACAGTTGAGCTTCTAAGCTGCTACACAACACGTCGAGCATCGTGCCATAACAAAATTGTGCAGGAGTCTTGCGCCTTCTATCCCTCTAGTCGAATTGCACCACCGTATGGGAGGAACGCAATCGCAAAAACACGAAAAAATAAAAATAAAAATAAAACGTGCGTTCACCTCCAATGTGCAGGCTAGGAGTCAGCTGCCGCACCACGGCCACCTGGCCGATGTGGGAGGAACAAAACAGCAGCCGCTGCAAATGCCACATCCCACAAAGCGGCAAGATCAAGCGCGGGCAGACAAGAAACAAAACAAATAACGTATAGATAAGTGGTCCCATCATCAAATGTATTATGGCTTGTAATTTACCCTGCCAAACAAAGCGACTTGCGATTGGCTAGAAGGCATCAAGCAGGTTGCGACATTCCGAACGTGAAGATCAGGCTTCGAAACATTGCTGTCGCTGCATTGCCGTTTAACTCAAAAGCTGCATATTTACATGGAGACTATCGCATGCTCTCGTGCACACGGGAATTAGAACAGCGGACCCCCAGCTCGTGGGGCTGCTACAAACATACCTTTGAATAAGCCATCGACACGTTGTGCCTCGTGAAACGTAGCATCGTGTCAAAATCACGGGCTACGTACGTCTTCGAAATATTGCCAAAGTCGTGCCCTTCGATTACCGACACTCACGTGCTCGGGGATGCCAGTGGCATTCGCAGTTAACGCTGCTGATGGATCGGACGTGTCGCGGCCCGATGGGCCGGTAAGTCCCGAAGAAAGGGCGATATCCTTAACGAGGCTCTCATCTAGATCGCTCTGCACCCACGCGACCAGAAACACCGACGCCACCTGCCAACAAAACGTGATTGCCCATTGATGTTAAGGCAAAACAAAAACAGCGACTTGTGTGATACGTACGCGGGGCGGCACGTTGATGGTGGCGTGCTGGTGACGTCAGTCAATGCATGGTGACCTAGAAATATGGAAACACCACATAAAACCAAGCTGTGACTTGTATCATACATAAGGCGCGGCGGCGCGTTGATGGCGGCGTGCTGATGACGTCAGTCAATGCATGGTGACCTAGAAATATGGAAACACCAAACTGACGGGAGAAAAGTGACCGCAGCCGACAGCACAATGTCGACTTCTCTCTCCACGACATAGTCTCACGGCCTTATCTCCTACTTAGGGCCGGGGGATACGTTCGACGACTGCAGAGCCGGGGTGGCGGAAACGCACAAGTGGTCGTTCGAGAGGGTGTTGCTCAATTCCTCTCACCTCGTTTAGCAAGGCCAGCACTCGCACGGCAGACTCTATGGCCACCCAATCGCCGTCTGGCCCCTTTCTCAAAACCACCTACATGAACACAAGCCGTCAGCGCAGCGTTTAGCGGCACAAGGTGTCAGGGAAAGGCTACAACAAGAGCCTAAACTTTGCTCGCGTGAGGGAATACCTTGGGGAAACAAAAAACTTGTTTGGTGATCTCGTGCGGTACGGTATGGGACGGCCAGCCAAGCATACCCAAAGAAGCAAAGGTATAATGATCATTTGACTTCGAACGTCACCCGTACAAACACACTGAAAGACCGCCCGGTACAATCGATGATCACAGGCGCTGGGATTAAACGCAATGCTTGTACTTGCGAGAGCCCTGAATTGCACCACCGACTTCTTCAAACATATGAGGAATCGACGCATAAACAGATCGATGCTATTCGATTGATATCGGAGGGGGGCTGCACACGGCAAGACTCCCCGACAACGACATTTGGTTCCAGCACTTCGTCAGTTTAACAGAAGCAGTCGACCGACGCTGACCGGTTGTAAGAAAGTCTTTGCTTTGAGCAACGATCAAACCTTACTGCCGTAGCCGATGCGAGCAATAGACCATTTCATATTTAAGCATTTCTTGTTTTCTGCTCGGCAATCTTGCACCCATCTCTTAGCGGCTTCGTTGAATAGTTCCAGCAACCGATTCCTCTCTTGTTTCTTAGCGTTGACGCCCCTACCATTGCACAAACCATCATCGCCATCGCCAGACCCCTCGCGTCTTCGTCGAATGTAACCCGAACCCCACGACCCGGTCGCATTGGATATCACGTGCTCCTAGTTGGGCACCCTGTGGTTCTTTGTTATGTAGCCGGCATCACGATTCTCCGGCAAAGTCTATACAAGTTGCCGATCGATGCACGTGCCTCACTTCCTGCAGTGGTGCCTGGAGCATGTAACGCTTGAGGGAGGGGGCCCGTTGACGAAATCGCGCACACACACTCACTATGTTGGCGCGCAGAGGCACTTACATTCCCGTGTCCAACCCCAGGTCCATCATGTTTCCTGTCTCCTCGGGAGATCTAGATTGTGCGGTTTTCCCCAAAGTCTAATTCGCATTTCTTGCCGTTCTCCAGATTTGAAGCTGGACTTCTTCCCTTTTCTGACGATGTTTTCAAAAACACTCAAAATAAGTCACGTATGAAGCCGATTTTTCTTTCTCTCCGAGAAAATAAGGACTTCAACGCATCCTCTTTGAATGTGCTTCGTACATCTCGAAAGAGTAGTCTCTCTGTGTTTGTACGTATATTTTCGATAACGAAACAAAGCCGCTCAGGCTAGATTGAGTAGTACGCTTCGTACGATTGCAGGAGTGTGAACTCTTCCGTACCACACCGTAGCAGAGTACAGTAGGCCACATGACGTGAGATACCACACCCCTATGACCAATTTTCAAAGCTCGAATGCTCCACAGGACACAGAGTGGCGGTGCCGAAAATGGCGGCGTGAGAACCATCCCGTCGAGAGCTTTCCATAACAGACAGTAGCCTTCGCAGGGTCTTCTACTAAGTAAACATGTTGGATAAAGTATGCAATCGGGGAAGTTGGGTTAGGGATAGGGTCTGCGCACCCCCCTTCCTGTTCTATTCCCTCACAAACTTAATTTCTCGCCCAGGCGGCCCTTTCCAAAATGCGTGATTCGTGCATCCTCTTCGTCGTGGAGATTTCGAGCTTTGAAAATAGGTCACCAGGGGGGGTGTATCTTACGTCATGTAACCTACGGCACGGCGGTCTGTCGAGTCTTTATCGTATTATAACAACACCATCACAAGACTCCAACCTACTCACGTCGTTCACGCACACCGTCACCGGCACCCGTCGCCTAGAGCCCCCCGCCCTAACGGCGCCGCCGATCCCTAGCCTCTTGCCCACGCCCCTCGCAGCATCCGACGCGGGTGGCTCCTCCGCCTTCCCTCGCTTGTTCTTCGCGCTTCTGTTCGGGTGTCTGGAACCGGAATTCGACGAAGATGGGGCCTGCGGCGCGGAGCAACAACGGAGAAAGTAGGAAAAGGAATCTCAGTCGCCCAGTTCCGTTAGACGCAAGGGATGGGATGCAAGTATACAATTGTAGTGGTCCCGAAAACGTGTTTCACGCTGCTGCTTTGGAAGCCGACAGCAGTTCAATTCGGCGTATTGAGACTCCGGTAAACCCAGGTTGGTTGGGTTTCAAGCGTTGCAGGTGCTCGCGGCATACAAGATGGGGATACAGCCAACGGACGGACAGCAGAGCAAGGAGTGTGTAGGCCTCTGAAAAATTCTTACGGTAGTTGCAAGGTATAGTACCCTCAACGGAGGGGGTGAGGTACACGCGCAAGACTCCGCTCGTTGCTCGGTGTGTTGCCTATCTCACTCACTCTGGATGTTTTCGGGGTTCAACAAAGCCTGTACCAGCGGGCAACATGAAGGATTCGGTTCGCCCACATCTCGGCGGGCCAATAGTTCTGCACAGTTTTTCCTGTGTAGCAACGCTGCGCTGTGTACACTGAAGAAGACTCCAGGAGCAGAGAGAGAGAGAGAGAGAGAGAGACGGAGAGGGTCGCCTTGTCTGTGTCTCATGCTCAGGTCGTGGGAAGCGGTGCAATTATTGCTAAGGGCGGCACGAAGCGGTTTCTCTCCTCATTCCTCACCTGCACGATGACCAGTAGAACCAATCCAAGCCCAACAGCGACAATAAGCCAGAATGGAACATCGAGGCCCATCCACTTGGTCATGGTGCCCTGATAACGGGGATGGGATACAATGATGCTGGGCACGCAGGCCTTGCGCTACCGGCCTCGTACAGAAGGCCAAGGCCACAAAGGGGACACAAAACTGGCCTTTTTTTTGCACATACAGGGCGGTAAGAATATTTTCTGCAGGGCCTCTCAATGTGTACATATATGTAGTCCAAAAATCTGGCGGGCACTTGGTTTGTTGCTGTTGGTTGATTTGCTGTGTTGCCCGCACAGAAGCCACACGTGTGCGCGCAAGGCCCCTTTGCGAGTGTAAGTGTCAGCGAACTCTACACAGCACAGCATCACCGAACGCGTCCTCCCCTGACAACACTCACTGCTGGGGAACCGCGAAACCGCTACGCTCTCACCTTCGCAAGCGCGCACTCTCTTCCCACGCGCATCGAAGTTGAAATCGACCAGCAGCATCAGCAGCATTTCCGACAAACTGCGGGAAAGCAGCACGGGGCACAAGATTCAAGGGACAGAGTAGGCCAGGGCCATCGATTTGCGATGGATCTGTCGCCTAGAGAGGAGGCAGCGCTTTCAAAGGTAAGGGTTCCATGTGTAAGACTGCCTGTGGGAACAGACGTGGTTTTTGTGTGCGTGTGATGTCGTCATGTACGGCTCCCCGGAAATTTGAATTGTTTGCTCACACAGGCAAAAAAAACGCGCGAAGCTCGCCACCCTTTCGGCCGCGCGCAAAATCGTCAACAACAACAATCGCCGGGAGGCCACCACAAAGATAATTAGCAGGAATGGATGGGGGAATGGAAGAGAGAAGCACTAGACTGCTGTGTCGTAGTTGGCCGGCTCCTAGCGAAAAAGTAGGTCGGCACTCTCTCTCTCTCCCTCGCTCCCTCGCACGAGCAAATGCGGCCGGGCCAGGTCTTTCGTATGCGTTTGTTTGAAAATCTGAGGATCGATCGACCTTCCACAACAGTATCAACCCTGCTTGTGCTGTTGCTGCTGCACAACCAAAAAACGGATGCAGCACTTCACTCGTTCGGCCTGCTATACACACCATCCTCAGCTGCACCGAAAGCGCCCTGGGCCGCACGCAGTGTGTGGCCTTTGTGTGTTGCGTTTGTCGATGCAATTTCGTGCCTTCCCCCCGTCGGCGGCGCCATTTTTGAACTTGTGGTGAAACCATCACTCTACGACGGTAGTCTACATTACAACAGTTTTTTCTTCCTCCCCCCGAAACCTTATTGTTCCACCTCCGGAAGCACGCTGCACTGCAGTCGCAATAGAGGCGCTGCTGTGGCGCTACGCTGGTGTTGGATCGGGGGTAGTTTGCGTTTGCACAATTGCTGTGTCCAGTGCTACTTGTGAGATCCCTTCTCCGTCATCACAACCATATTTTGTTTTTGAACTAGAACTGCTGTATCAGCCCGATTCGTTCGAATAGCCGCGCGTCCTGGGTGTACCTCTGCTGCCGTGCGCCGCCCTCATGCTACAGGGACCTATAGTATCGACATGCTCGACTTTCGCATCTCTTATTTGTTCATGCGGTACACTTGCTTTTGATCGCCTTTCGCAATGTCATCACTGCTGCTGCCGTTCGCACAGGTTTCTTTTCCCGAGACACCGACACCTGCAACGGGCATGGCAGCACCAGGCCGCGTTCATTCGTGCCACTCGAGGTTAGCCAACGCTGGCGTTGAGAGCGCCGGCAAGGCCTGCGGCGGCGACGACGAGAGCACCAAGGCGAACAGCTCGGCGCGCAGCAAGTGTTCCCTGTCTCCACCAAGACCCCGTTTGAAAACAGTGAGCGAGCTTCTTTGCCGTGCGCAACAAACCGCCTTCGGCTTGAAAGGTTGGAATAGGAACAAAAACAAACACACAGGTGGATACTGTACCTGAAATTGTGGCAACGCCCGCGGCTGTGCCCTCTGTACCATATCCTTTTTTGGCTATCTGTTTATGTTTCTCCCTCCGGCGGGATAAAGTTCCAAGTTGGATACGTTCACACTCATCACACGCTGCTGTATTACCTGTTGAGATGTATCTCGGGGTCTTGCATGTAGTCTTACCAGGTGGTACGCATGTACCATCATAACCTTGTTTGCATTGCTGTCACCAAGGTTAAAAGTCACTCCTGGTGGGATTGATCTCTTTCCCACCGAACAGGCCTTCACCCTTTCCGCCTCGGGAAGGCTTCGTTAATTCGAGCTCCCAACACTACGCGTGTGCATGTTCTCAGCCCTGTCGTCGACCTTGTCGTTTGTTCCACCTCTCTGTGTTGTTGCTTGCGCCAGGCTTGCAAGCCCAGCCCGGCTAGAAGCGCGGCCGCTGTCATCCTCGCAACTCTTCTCGGCGGGCAGCAGCAGCCGTCATCAGACGACGGCACGGCCTTACCATGCCTGCAGGTGGCGGTAGAAGACATGGCCAAGCCAACCTCGTCCGACAACAGCAACGAAGGAACAAACGGGGCGGCGCTTGGCGCGCAGCCGCTGCAGCAGTGGACGGATCCGCAGCAGCCGGGGGCGGGCGCAACACCGGTGGTTGTCGGCCAGGAGGGGGCCGGCGGTAACGCCGACGGCGTGGAGGGGCTCCCGCGGGCGGCGGGTCAGCCGCAACGCTTGCAGAGAAGGGCGCGCGAGGACACCTCTGTCGGTTCTCCGCAGAGGGAGTCGCCACCGCCGCCGCCGTCTCTCGGCGGCGACAAGGGCGGGGAGGCCCGCCAACAAGGCGCCAACCACCACAGCGGCGGCGGAGGTGGAGGTGGAGGCGGCGGCGGAGGCGGCGGCGGCGGAGGCGGCGGCAGCAGGGGCGCCGCGAGAGGTGGTGGAGAAGGTATTGCGGCCGTCTCGCCACCGACCTTCCCCGCAGCAGCAGCATCAGCAGCAGCAGCAGCAGCAGTGGCAGGCTCTCCCTCTCCCGCCGCTGCCGGCGTGCGCCGCTCCCCCCGACAGCGCTCGCCTCGCAAGCGGTCTCACGCCGACGACGACCGGCGTTGCGGCGATAGCAGCGGCGAAGGCCGGGCGCGGAGCCAGCTCTTCGGCGCCGGTGGGGGTGGAGGTAACAACAACAGCACCACCACCAGGGGGAGGGACTCGGAAGCACCGCTACCGCTACCGCCACCGCCGCCGCCTCCCGCGGTGGCCGGGGCTTGGACTCCATCGCCGAAGGGCGTCGCCGGCGGCGGCGGTAGCGTAAGGTCCATGGCCGGCCCGGCAGGGAGCGGCAGCGGCGGCAACGGCCGGAGTGTGGCCGTGGTGACGCCGTCGTTGCCGGAGAGTGGCGGCGGCGGCGGCGGCGGCGGCGGGCTGCTCTTCTGTAGGGAGGACCTTGGGGCGGCGGGATCGGGGTTGGGGGACGACCTTGGGTACAGCAGCTACTGCCGGAAGGACAAGGTGAGTTTCTTGGCTATTGGTACATGTTGCCTGCGACGATGGTGTTCCGGCCGATTGTGAACTCCTTCGTGCGTCTGGTTGATGCTGCTGTGGGATGCAGCCAAGAACGCTACTAAGGTGACAGGACAAGAAAGCTGTTGATCGACACTTAGGAGAGTCGGGAGGGGAAGACACAGAGGTAGTGGGGTCGCTTGACGATGAGTGTTCATGCAGAACACCATCTCGTATATGGTGATTTGTTTTGGCATCATGAGGTTGACGGAGATATTCATTGCTGAGGTTGCTGCTTGATACCCGTGGTTGCACACGCCATCATGCCTTGTGTGTCGGACACGGCGCATGCCGCGACGAGGTACTGTGTCGTGAAACTCTTGCGCCCTAGATCCACACCGTCATGTCCATCGACCGGCAGAGCAATGTGGTCCAAGCCAGAGCTCTGACCTCGCGTGCTGCTTTGCTTACCGTGTATATGTGACTCGGACATCGCTACATTTGCGGTCCCCGTTCACCGCTCCCTTTTCTAACGCGTAGATCCCGACCCTGGAAACCTTAATCCACGTACTCTCGATACACAACTGTTGGACGTTTTTGGCACACCTAAGCGCACGCGCTCTGGACAGACAACGGTTGGACGTTTTTGGTACAAAGCCACGTCCCCTCTTGCCGCTAACTACGACCATTGTTAACCTTTTTCCTTCGCGCACGCGCAAGGGTAGTTGGGACGGTTTTGCTACAGAGTCACACCCCCGTCTCCCGCTCCCCCGTAAATTGAAACCTTATCCCGAATCGCACGCACAATGGTTGTTGGACGTTTGTTGCCACGTGCGAAGTCTCTCGGCCTTCTCTGCGGACGGTTTGTGGAGGTGTACGGGCATAGTCAGCACTTTCGGGACCGGGTTGCGGGAGGTGGCCCCGCCGCCGCCGCTGCCGCCGCCGCCGCCGCCGCCGCCGCGGGCGGGAAGAAGGGTGACAAGGGGGATGACGAGGAGGGGATGATCGAGCTCGACAAGGCGGCGGCCGAGCTGGGGGTTGCGAGGCGCAGGATCTACGACGTGATCAACATCTTGGAGAGCGTCTGTGTGGTGACCCGCGCGAGGAAGAACACTTACAGGTACGCCGGGAGGGTGCACGAGGAAAAGCAGCAAGCCGTGTTTGTTTCGGGTTGTTTGTTTGTTGATAGTGGTGGAGGGGATTGTTGTTGTTGTTGTTTTTGTTGTTGTTGTTGTTGTTGTTGTTGTTGTCGTGTCTCAGATAACCTTTTCATTTTTCATGTCAGAAGCAACAACCAAACCAGTGTGTTGCACCGCATGTATTGAGGTTGTACCGCATATATTGAGTTGTACCGCGTACCGCGTACATGGTTGTACCGCATAAAGTATGGTTGTACCGCATATAGTGAGGTCGTATCGCGTCCGAAGGCGTACCATCCCATGACGATCCCTAAACCCCAGACGTTCAAGCTGACGATTTTCCCGGTCATCCTCCCCCCTCTCTCCGAACGTACCGAACCTACCGCCGTTGTTGGTGCCGACGGCGGTGGGGTATCGCGGATTGTTGGACGGACCATGGCATCAATCGACAGGTGGCACGGCAAGAAGAACTTGATCCTGACCCTTCGACAGCTGCAGAGGACGGCCACCCACGTGTTCCCCGAAGAAGTGGCCAAGAACGGTAGGTGGTGGTAGCAGCTG